TGTGTGTGTGTGTGTGTGTGTGTGTGTGTGTGTGTGTGTGTGTGTGTTGGGGCGGAGGGATGTGGGGCACTCTTATAAGAGTGCTTTTATGTTATGGTTCAAACAAGAATTATAGAAAGCTGGTCTTAGTTTCTTCACATAAGGGCCCAGATTTATGGCTATGCTGTCTCTGCTTTTTGCATGATCACTGTCACAAAGCAGCCATAAATTTAGTGGATTTGCCTGTGCAATAGAGAGGGTGTGGCTAGAGAAACAGCTGTGTCCTGCTGATCCCTGTCAGCTGTGTTGGCTTTCCGGGACTGAGAGTAGCTAATTGTAAAATAAAATACCTTTTAGGTTGCACAAAGGTGGTTAAAGCTATTTTGTGTCTTCCTCTGTGTGGCCCTGGTTTAGCAAAGAATCCAGTTGTTATGCATCTTGCATGAACTGGAATAATGTCTGGGGGTCTTTATATGACTGAGTTTTTCATTTGTGTATCTTCTCTTTCCATGTAGATGATTGAAACAGAATGCTTTCAAGAGGTCAATATATATGAAACTGATGTCACTTTGTCACGAGACCTAGATATGAGCAAAGATACTCCTAGACCAAAGAGAGGCTTCTTTCACAGACTCTTCATGGGTGGGGTAAGAGTACTACCTATGGCTTTTTGTTTTTTCTTTTACAATACAAATATATAATACTTTTTTGCCTTTGCTTTTTAAATTAATTTAAAATGTTTATCAAATGACAGTCTCTCACTATTTATAAAAAAGGCTTATAATGGAAAAAAATCATCAAAACTGTAGGTTGAACTAAATGTAGATGTCTGATATGATCACTGAATGGACAGTGACTCCGAAGAAGAAATGTTAGGAGACAAACATCAGGATATTTTAGGTGTGTGTATATTTTGAGATAAGTTGTTGTTTGGGAGATGGTGTAGATATACATGGGTTCCCCAATGGGCAAGCTGACTCCACTTCTAAGACCTAATGTTTAATAAATATATTAAAATATCTTAAAATTGAGCAATCTTTAGGAATCGCACCCCAAAATATTTACCATAAAAGACATGAGAAACATAGGTTGTTTTAATATAGTCTACTTGCATATATATTTGACCAAAATAGGCTGTTTACTAGTGTGTTTCACATGCAGACCAGCATATACTATTTTGTTTGCTCTGCATATACAAATTCAGAGTGAAATTGTTTTGGGAAGGATGAGTTCATCCCAGTAAAGAACCATAGAAATAATGTTGGCTTTCAATAGAGATTTAATTATTTTAAATTGCTAGGAACAAATCATGAAGCATCCACATTATAGCTGTGCATTATAATAGCACATTAAACATTTTTGTCATCGATTGGGCATTTGAATGTTGGTGTGAACTGACCTTTTGGTTACGATAAAAAAGACTTTTTAAACAAGGAAAAACAACAGAGTACCATTTTTAGAAAATATATTTGATCTATACCTATAAGAAAATTTCCAGTTTGTTTTTAACATAGGAATGATGTGTTACCTGCCTATACCTTATTCAGGAATCTTGTCTTTGGATGCCTATGAATGATTCCCATTTAAGTTATTGAGAGCTAGATAGCTACACTGAGGGAAGACTAGACATCTGCATGATTTTGATTTGAAACTGTTTATATTGAATGTGGAAACTCAATTATTCATATGAGAAATATAAAAGAAGAAATATTTTAATCCCTACACTGTCTGAGTATCAGAAAATTCACTAAGGCCTTGAAACATAGAACCAAAATATGTAGGTTAATTTATACAGTAATATGACATTTTGTTACTGATTCATCCAGTACAGTTATCTCTGGCTGATCCACAGGAGACTACATAACAAAATACTGTTTTCAGCTTTTGCAGGCACTGTGCTATCCCAGCTGGTGAATGAAAAATAATTTGCAAATGTACCAATAGTTCCTAGGCTAGCATGGCTGCAGTCAAAATGTTGGTCTTTTGACCACAGTTTTGCTTTGCACTTGTATAGCTGATTATAATTTTTCGTTTGCCTAAGGTGTCCTCAAAAACTGGGCTTTGTATTGATGAAGAATGTTTCCAAATATTTTATGGGTTGAGGTCCTTCAATTGGCTATGAAATACTGTTTATAAATCTTGTCTTCTGTAACTGACTTCACAAGGAAAGAATTAAAATAAGGTTAGATGAAGTGAAAATGGTCTGAGCTTTGGTTTGAGGTGGCTGCTGCTTCCTTTTGATAGCCACAAAACTACTTATTTAGTAGAAAAATTATATGGACTCTATAAAAGAATATGTATAGACTCTATTTATTTAAAAAAAAAGCCAACCACAAAACACCAGCTGTGCTACTTATTTAACTAAATGCAGCCATTTTGTCTTGTCTCTTTCTCAGGTCTGTTTTAAATCTGGTTACATTGATGATGAAGAGGAGTTCTCTAGACTCTAAATCAGAGAATTGTACCCAAAAAATAAAAGGATGAGTGAACTCTGAATGTTTTTAATCTATGTAAAGTGTATTATAAATGTAAAAAAATATGTATGGGCTTACAGATATTGTATATTTGTACTTTAGTTTTAAGTGTCAAGATGTATATTTTCACTAAATCTTTATTGTACAAAAGCCATGAGTGCCACTTAAGTGTAAGCATGTATGTGTGATATATTATGTATTTTAATTGGAATGAAGGTGGAAATACTTAAGGGTTTTAAAGTACAGAAACTTATGCTATCTGTGATATGGATGTTACTTGGCTTTGGGGATTATGTTGTTGTTGTTCCTGGCAACTCTACTGAAAGGCACTGTTTCTTATTCCTCAGAATATTATTTAGGTTTGTTCTCAACAGCAGACTTGTTATACTGATTAGTATTAATATTTCTGGTGTAAATAGCACTTCATTTCTGTTTGCTGTCAGATTGCACTCTAATATAGTTCCCAAGTCATTTAAAATGAAACTGCTAGGAAAAGAAGGAATGAGTTCAGTGCACTGTGACCAGTTTCTGTAAAATACTTTTTACAAGTTGGGATTTAAAGACTATTTGTTTGTCTCAAGTTGTTCCTGCTTTGTATATTGTGTGTAATATGTAATGCCTTATTTTTGAAACAAACTTAATTTCTCCAAATGTTGATATCAGGAGACAGTAATAGATTTCTGACTAAGTATATATATTTTCCCCCATTTATTAGAAAGATAAATGGTTTCTCTGTATCTTTTTAGAATAATTGCCTTTCTATTCATATCTTTGTCAGGAGTGAACACAACAGGAATTCCAGATTTTTTAGAAGTAGTAATTTATGCTTTTGGTCCATAGCTTTCCCCGTCCCCACTCTAGCTATAGCTTATCTGAGTAAGGCCTTTGTCTACACTGGAATCAGAACCATGCCAGCTATACAACTTGACTATGTTTTGAATGTTTCATGGTTATTGCTAACAGAATTTCCCTAAGCACTGTGGACAGAACTTTTTTCCCTGAGATTGTTAGCCAACTCCTTGCTATAGGCTTTCATTTATAGCAAGGATTGGTAAGTTGGAATCTCAAAAAATGGTATGATCTGATCTACCACACAATACCTCCTTGCTTATTGCTATTGTAGATTCTTACATTTTAGTTACAGCATTGACTGTGATCATGACTACTGAGTAAAAATAAAACTAATAATTAAGAATCTTTCTGTATGAACTCTTAAACTCATCAAAAAAGAATAATTCCCTAAGAACCAAGTCCCACTGATATTCTTTCTTAAAGGTGGAACTGGTACTGCTGCCTGTAGATATGATTGCTCAAGACTTTCCATTATAAGACCCAATTTTTTTGTTGCTTATAACTTTGCCAAATTTTAACCTTCTTGGCTGAAGCTATCCATCCTAGATGTCTGCCTGACTCTTTCTACCTACCTACTAAAATTGTTCAGATGTTTCTAAGATCACATTAAGGTCCAAACAACACATTTTGCCCATGTTAAAAATATTCTTACAACTATTTCATTGAGAGGCTGTAATGCTTCCACACGTTGGATCAGGAACTTGAAATTTGGGCAGGGGAGTTTACCCCAGAGTCAGGGGTGTGCCTTTACCATCCCCAGAAAAACCTGTCCAAATTTGACGAAGTGATAAAACCAAATTGAAGTTTGTGCATGCTCAGAGACTTGCTTGCCAGCTAAATTTTCTGAAGATTCCAGCTGCAATGAGCATGTTCCATTCCCCTCACAGCTTCTGTGTGACAACTGCACTGCATTTATGCCATTTGCACAGAGCAACTGAGCATGCTTCAACCCAAGGCTCAGAACAGGACTTTTCCTGCAAATGCTGCTTCTGGCTGCGGGGGGTAGTTGTAACCCATGGGCACATGATCTGAGATCAGGGAGACTCTCCTGTGCTCTCAATATTCCAATTGCTGCCACCCAGGTAGTATGGAGAAGAAGGAAATGGCTGCATTGGAATGCACAGAAGTGGGAAATGGGGCAAGAAAGAATGTGAGGGGGTTGCAGGAACCAGAGGCTTGGGGAAGCAGAGGAGGAGTGGGACAGGAGCCAGGGGATGGGAGGTTGGATTGACTCAGATGGAGAATGAGCATGAGCTGGGATGGTGCACATAAAAGCAGAGGTAGACAGAGAGGCTAGGGGTATAGGAGTAAGGGCATAACCACTGGAGAATTTGGGACATTTACCAGATAGAGAACAGTGGTATTGCTTCTCTAATTTGATTAATATAAAACTTCTGGTGTTTAGTGTAGTGATACAAAGGTAACAGTAACAACAGCGGACATATGGAACGACATATGGACTTAATAGCAGCTTAGAGCAATTTGGGCAAGAATACCATGGCCCCAGCCTGAGTGGTTTTAAATGATGAGACCACAGGTATCAGCTTTAAACAGATTAAAGAAAATAGTATATTTTTATTTGCCATGCATGTCAAGGATATTATCTTTTTTATATAGACAATACCTTAATTAGGAAATCAACTACTATAACACCCTTATTCTATCTAATCTAAACAGAAAGTTCTATTTCCATAACACAGGACAGCAGCTAAGGAAATAAGAGTGCTAAAAATGTTGGAGAACTGAAAGATTTGCAGAAAGTACACCAGTGGCTTCTTATAACTAATCCACAATAAATAGCAAGTGATAACAACCCTTCTCAATAATCAGAGTTCTTAGTTATTACTCACCTAAGTACAGGAAAACAATGCAAGATGCATGCAAGGCTTCCATTGACTTCAGTGGGACCTCATGCACCCCTGCAGAATTTGGACCTTGTGGTGTAACTAAAAAAGTATCTGTATGAGAAAAGCTTCAAAATTAGGCCAATTGTAACCTAAACCATGCTTCTGTTCTCTCAGTTCCACCAATTAAGAAAAAAAAAAATTGCAGTTCCTCACTCAGACTGACAATTCATGACCCCAGTTGTTTGGGAGGATGCCCTGTCCAGTGTTGGGCCTCCCTCAGAGAGAGGCTATGTTTACAAGCAACCTTTCAAAAAAATTGGTTGGTAGTATGTTCTAGTTTTTAACATCTCAATCAGATGACTGTTACTGCTACTTCCTACTGCACTCCCACCCACTGATGTGCTCATTCTTAATTCTTCATATGGATCAACACATACCTATGGAAATTTTAGGCCATTGGTAAAGGGGCATTCTTTACAAGCAACAGAATATTGTTTTTATAAATGGGAGTTTTATCTAAAGTCTAATGTATTGACCAAGGGTCTAGCTGTCAAGATTCCTGGGTTTTATTCCTAGCTATGTCAGCATTTGACCTTTAGCAAATCACTAATGTTTATGAACATCTCTAAAATGTGCATGCTATCTACTGTAAAGGAGTGTTGAGGTCTAACATTGTAATGCTTGTGAGATCTGTGGATGGAAGTTGCTATATCTCATTTTATCTGAAGTGAGAAGTAGCATCTTTTTTTCCCTTACCCCAAAGCCTGCTGTGTCTTGTCAGATAAATTGTGAAATTTTCATAGCTTTCCAAATGAACACCTCTTTCACTTACCGAAGCAGTAAATTAAATGTATTTGAGCATTCATTAAATTTGTTTAACTTGTGCGTTATTGCACTCTTATTGTTTGCAAAGTACATTTTAAAAAATATATTTATAGCGCCAAATTCACTAGTGCATTCTGGCTACTTTATGTCATTCAAGCAATACAAAGCAGCTGAAAATATGGTGTAATTGACCACTTAAATTGGGTTTGCAGCTGCTTTGCATCACCAGAGTGGCATACAACAGCACGATCGTACTAATGAATTTCGCCTACAGTGAAGGCTGCATTTTTTGCCATGAGGGAGTCATAGATTTTTAACATTATATCCATGATTTCTGAGACTTTGGGTTGTAGATAGGTGGATGTAATAATGAACAGTTGAATCAATTTTACTAAGAACTTTAAGTTTTAAATTTGATGACTCAATCTACAAAGGGAGGTAGAGACAGATGGAAATCCAGTACTATAGAGGGATCTGTACAGTGCTTCTGTCCCTGCTGCCTTTGCAGAGACAAGCAAATTGTGCCATAAAGGCAGCATTTAGAGTCTCTTGCCTGCCCATCTTCCCATGCTACTTCTGTGCACTGAGGGCCTGAACTTGTGCCATTTAAGTCAGTAGAAGTTTTACTGATGACTTCAGTCGGAGCAGGGTTCGGGCTCTAGTGGGAAAGCAAGGGAAAATGGTTCTACTTTTATGTCCTGTTTCTATAAACACTTATGCATATGCTAAGCTTCCGAGTTTCCCCATTGGGACTGCTCAAAGCAGTAAAGTTAAACATATGCATAAGTGTTGCCAAGATGAGGGCCTAGGTTACGTTTCAGTGAGTTTAAATTGACATTTTGTGACAAAAGACATTAATTTGTCTTTTTGCCTCTTATTCAGTGAGCAGTCTGACTTTTGGGTCATTTACCATGGCAGAGCACTAGCCTTAGCACTTTATATAAGGAATCAGTAAACTAAAACTGTCACCATTGAAAACATCTAAGATAGTAAAAATAACTAAGAAGACATAAAACATGACCAAATACTAGTGAATAGATATTGCCTAATGTGATTCCATTCATGAATTAGAAAGCCACAAACCATAAGTATAAATGTAACCCGTTTACATATGGTACATTGATATTATCATCTTCCTCTGTTATCATGAGGTAGTAATATTGATTAATGTTCTCATTGAATCGCTTGTTTTAACACTTCTTGGAGGTAAATTTTGAAAAGCACTGAAGGCAGAATACTTATGGTGTGGTAAATTACAATTTTTTGCTGTGAACTTTGCCTTGATTCACAGCTCATGCAGTATGTAGAACTTCATGACAAATAAAGGAGGGAAGGACTAAAGAGTTCTGTTTGTTTATATGAACATATCCCTTTAGCTTTTACCATGAAGTTGTACAAAAGCCAAAGCAAATTCCAATCTTACACTGTTGTAGATTAGGAGTAACTCCATTGTAGTCAATGAGTGAGTTACTTCCATGTAAAGCTGGTATACATGAGATCAGATTCAAAACCCTTGTGTTACTCACAAGGCTATAATAATGGCAAGCTACGGATCTAAAATATTGGGCCTGATTGTGTTCTTATATTGTGTAATTGATTTCAGCAGAGTTACACCAGTGTGAGAACATAATCAGTCCGCTTTGTCTTTGTTTTGTGTTCTCTAGTGTTTGTCCCTGTAGGTCCTTAATTTCTTAATGTCCATATGCAAATATACATATTTAGCTTGTATTTTCAAAGCAGTGAAATAATGTGCTAGTAACTCAAAAGTTTTCATTATCCTATCCTGTGACCAACAAAATGGAGTCTTTATGTCTCAGGCTGTTTTTGTTTCTATAAAGAGTTCTTCTGCTTTTTTGTTGTTAGTTGTTGATGTAGCACTATATGTCTGTGTTCACAATACCTATACAAAAGTCTCCATTTAAAAAGTCAGCACTTAAAATTACTGCACCACAGTATATGAAAAAATTGTGGTATCTCAGGTAACATAATGTAGTAGCTATTGGTGAATGCTGTGTATTTTCCTCAAGTTAGTTATAAGCTTTAGTTATGCAGCCCTATTCCCATATATGTAAGAGAATTGCTTTAGTTCAGTGGAAAACTTGACTAATTTGAGAAACCAGGCATAGACTTTCCAGAAAATAATACATACTGACAGTGATTCGTAAAGGGTGAAACTAATTAAAGTGTGCTAATTGGTTCCAATGTGGTATTTGTTGGGACTGCATTATAAATGCTGAATCCAACTTTGCACAGTGTAGAGAAATTTCGCATTGGGTCACTAATGAAATCAAAAAGTACTGTTTACATGATTCTAGAAACATGTCAACAGAGACATTAGATCTTTTTTTTGGTTCTGTAACATGAACTTAATATTAAGTGAGCAACTGTATGAAGAGCTGTATTTGTTTGTTTCCAGAAAAACTCGAGTAACTTTCTTTTGTTACACAGTTGACCTATCAGCACAACAGCTTCTTCTAATACATTAATAGAAGCAGCATTAAACTGAATTCTGGTTCTGTCTGACTTGAATGATTTTGATGCTTTCTGATGGTAATGTTATCTCTTATGAATGTCTGCACAATGTCCATATTTATTGTATTGTCCACATGGAGAAATTTACTAAGTTTTGAGCACGTGTAGGTAGCTCTCCTTTCTTCTTTGTATAATGATGTCAATATATCAGAATTATTGTTCAAAGTATAACCATTTTCATTGCTAAATGTGAGCAACATAAGTTATAAAAGTGTCTTCCAACCACTAAAGTGTTCTTGTATCAGCAGCTTTACGTTCTATTAAGCATTTTTTATTATTGAAATAAAAGCAAAACACTGCCACATAAATAGATCATATGTCCTGTAGTCTCATCTTTTGCTCTATGTAATGAGTCTTCCAAGGGAAGCAGGGTGGATAAAATAATAATTTTTAAATCAAATCAATTTTAATATAATTAGATTTTTATTTACATATTGGTAGGTCTTTAGCAATTTAAGATATCAAATTGGGAAGAAAGTGAGTGTTGTGTACTTGTTTGGTTTCCAATTGTTAGTAGAATTTCAGATTTTACAGAGACTTTTTTTTTTTTTTTTGGAAATTTCACACTCAAAATGCTCTTTTATACTAAGGGGGAAAAAAAAAAAAAAGACGAGCCCTGGTCTTCATGAACAGCCTTACTGTGATAATACTACATACTCAAACACAAAACAGATAAGCAAATAGCCCTTTCAATATTTACAGCCAATATCACCTTTCAATATATTGAACTTCCACAAGTCAAGAAAGCTAAAATTCTTCAAACTGGCTTTGCTCCTCCAGCAGGGTTTATAGTTTGAAGTCAGTGGGATACATCTTGCTCCCAAATTACTTATGTGCTCTTGAAAATATGGGCATAGAAGCCTAATTTTGAAAATGTTGGCCAATGTATAAACATGTTAATTTTGTTAATGGATTGAAAGTGTAAATAACTTTTTTGTTAAAAATTATGCAGTGTTGGTCTGAAGTGACAAATATTTTATGTCACTGTAGGTATGACTAAACTGCAAATTAAGGTGTGATTGTAGTGCAAGTAGGCATACTTGTACCTTTAATCTAGCAAGTGGGGATAACAATTGTATTGAAAACATGGTGGCACATACTTCAGTGTGGGCTAGCCACCCCAGTACAAGCTTGCCAGTGACCCTGTGTATGAACTTGGGTTGCTAGCCTGTTCAGAAAAATCTGTGCCATCACCTCTTCACTATGCTAGCTAGATCAAAGCTAACATGACTACCTGTGCAACAATCATACCTTAATTTGTGGTGTAGACATACCCTTTGAGAAACTTTTTTCCCATGAAAATACAACTTTACCACCTGATGCTGCAAACACTTCTTTATATGCTTAACTTTAAGCACATGGATAGTTCCATTGAAGTCAATGGAAATATTCATGTGAGTGAAGTTACATACCTGCTTAAGTGTTACTTTTCATTATTTTTTGTCTATAGCAGTCTTGTATATTTCAAATGTGTTTCTCTGCCAATAGAACATTTTCCCCTTGCCCCTGCATTTATAATTTAGTACATTATACATTTTAACCTAAATTTCACATTTAGTTTTACAAATCCTCAATCTGATTTAAATTAATTATAGGAAATCATGCTATTTTAATTTACACTTTGTATATATGGAGTGGTATATCTAATCATTACATAGTATATATTATTTTCCAGCCAAACTCATGTTTTCATCACTTACTACGTACAAAATTCACAATGGTCCATATGTTCTGGAAATGACTTTCTCTGTATACATGCTGGGATTATGTTAAAGGTATATTAGGAAAGATACCTTTTTCTTTGAAGGAATAGCTGAAGATTTTGGCATGATTTGGAACCTTTTTTTCTTGAATTCTTAAACACAATTCAGCTTTAAGGATTACATACAACTTTATAATTAAACTAGTATTTTGTCAATGTCATAGCTGTACAATAAATTACACAGTAATGTTTCAACCATCACAGAATATTTTCTGTTTAATTGTTTACTGTATTTGACTAAAAGCCAATCCTGTCAGAGCAATGAGTTGGTGAATACTTAATTGACAAAAGTGAGGTTTCTTCATTCAAGACTGTCATAAACTTCAGAGAAGAGCCCCAAGAATGATAAAGGATTAGAAAATATGCCTTATAATAGCCTCAAAGAGCTCAATCTATTTAGATTAACAAAGACAAGGTTAAAGGGCAAGGGTGAAAGTCAGGGCCGGCTCCAGGCACCAGCCCACCAAGCTTGTGCTTGGGGCGGCACCTGGAGAGGGGCGGCGCGGTGCTCCGGCCGCCGGGGAGAGCGGGGCCACAGCCGGGCTCGCCACCCTCCCCCCGGCGCTCTGGCCGCTGTCCCCCCCGGCGACCTCCCCCCGGCCGCCGGGGGGAGAGTGGCGAGCCCCAGCTGGGGCTCGCCGCCCTCTCGCCACCCTGTCCCCTGCGCTCTGGCCGCCGGGGGGAGAGTGGAGCCCTGGCCGGGGCTCGCCGCCCTGGCGCTCTAGCCGCCCTCCGCCCCGGCGCCCTCCCCCCGGCCGCCGGGGGGGGAGAGCGGAGCCCCCGCCGGGGCTCGCCGCCCTCCTCCCAGGGCTCCGGGCGCCCTCCCCCCCCC